GTGTGTGTGTGTGTGTGTGTGTGTGTGTGTGTGTGTGTGTGTGTGGTGTGTGTGTGTGTGTGTCTGGGAGGGGGAAAATAAATGAGATTGAGATTGACAGCTTCTCAAGACAGGTAGTTGGGGCTCAAAATCAAAATGGTGATTTAAAGAAAAAACAGACTAGCACTTCAGAGAGGATTCATAACTAAAATTCCCTAACTTTGCCACCAATTTAATACAGTAGCTTCAGTGTACAATAGTAGGTGCTTAGTATATATTTAGTGATGTTATATGAAAAACAAGACCAGCCTTCACAGTAATTATAACAAAGATAGCAACACTGATTTGTGCTTATGAATTCAGAAATATTCTTCAAGACCTAAGACTCATTACCACAGAACCATGTCAAACAGTCGCAATATGTCCAACTTTTGAGTCATTTAACATCAATGTATTCCTAATATTACAAATTAATTCAATAACAGAACTTTTCCAGAACACTAATACTGATCTATAATTAACAGTACCATGTAACTCACTAGCACCATGTTTTTATTTGCTGATCAGCTCTCCTTTACATTTGAAATAAGAAAATGAACATTTATTTTAGGTTAGCTCTTTTGATCAAATACAAATAAAAGATATTTTATCCCCCATGGTCTTCTAAATATTATAGAAATGATTGGGTTCTACCTTTCACCAGGATGAGTCACCCTTGAACAGCTGAGCTATAGCTGTGGATTTGATATGGACAAGGTGCAGATGGAGAATTCCTGAGCTCAGGAAGATACAGCAGACTATTCATTCCACCCCCTCATTATACTTAAGAGGAGACAAGGCCCAAAGAGGGCAGCCGATAGCTGGCTGAGAGCAAAGCTAATACTAAAGCCCAGCTCCCATGCTCCTCCCACTTCATCTCATAATACTCTCCCACTGAAATTATATAATTGCACTGAAGTCAAAACAACTGTTCTCTGAAAGGTATTTTTTCTTAGTATGAAGACAGATAGATAGATGTGGGAAATGTGTGTCTCTTCTTAAACTTATTTTTCAATTATAGTTGACAAACATTGTATTAGTTTCAGGTGTACAACACAGTGATCAGACATTTATATACCTTAAGAACTGATGACCCCATAGAAAAAAATCCTAGTTTAATTCCATTATTATATATCACTCTTTCTACAATGTACCTAGTGCTACACTTTCGTACCTTTCAAGTGTGACAGACTAAGACTTAGCTAAGGATGTTCACCATAAGGGAAAACTGACAGAAATCAAGTGATTTGTCCAAGATCATCCTGCACAGACTAGATAATTAGATGATTATTTTTCCCAATCCAACAGTTCTGATCATTGATATTTTCACACTGGAACAACACTGTTAAAATTGGACATGAAAACATTTTTAGCCATGAACAGCATGAGGGCAGGTCTTCAAATTTCATTTTCCTAATGTTGATTAGTCATTTCCAATCTGTGCAAGATTTTTAATAGTAAGTTCTCATCTGAATTTGGAAACAATATGGCCTGATTTCACTTTAAAATTTCTTCATGAATATTTT